CTCCCTTCCCGAGGCAGACAGGCCCGGAGTTTCCCTCTTCTGAGATTTCTTCTCCGCTTACGTTTCGACGATTCCTTTCGTGGCATCTCGATGAGATTGGAAGGGGAGACGGAGCTAAGGAAAAAGGTTGACTTGGGGCCGAGCCGAGGCGTCCAAGGTCTGGTGGCCAGTGTGGTGACCGCTTGGACTCTTGGCTTGCCAAGCATGGGATCTCCTTTGGGACTGCCAGTCTAGGACAGATTGCAGACTGGGCGAAGGGGGTAGCAGATGGCTATTTCTGCTCAAATGTACAATTGAGAAATCTGGGGGTGGGGTCTCATTTCCGGCTCTGAGCTGCCCAGAATTTAAGTGGATCTTTATATCAATTATGAAACAGCCCATCCACATTTTGTATTTGCTACTTAGAATTCTGAACTTAGTCTAGTTTTGGAGTATACCCCATGCTAATAAGATTCAAATGATTGGAACATGTAGAGTTGATTGAGGTAATATGTAAAATTGAAAACACGTTTTTTATTTCATGTTTATTGCAGCCATGGCTTTAAAAGGACAAGAAGATTATATTTATCTTTTCAAGGATTCTGCACATCCTGTGGATTTTCTTGATGCATTCAGAACATTTTACTTGGATGGATTATTTACAGATATTACCCTTCAGTGCCCTTCGGGAATAATCTTTCATTGTCACCGAGCTGTTTTAGCTGCTTGCAGCAATTATTTTAAGGCAATGTTCACAGCTGACATGAAAGAAAAATTTAAAAATAAAATAAAACTCTCTGGCATCCACCATGATATTCTGGAAGGCCTTGTAAATTATGCATATACTTCTCAAATTGAAATAACTAAAAGAAATGTTCAAAGCCTGCTTGAGGCAGCAGATCTTCTACAGTTCCTTTCAGTAAAGAAGGCGTGTGAGCAGTTCTTGGTAAGACACCTGGATATTGATAATTGTATTGGAATGCACTCCTTTGCAGAATTTCATGTGTGCCCAGAACTAGAGAAAGAATCTCGAAGAATTCTGTGTTCAAGATTTAAGGAAGTATGGCAACAAGAAGAGTTTCTGGAAATCAGCCTTGAGAAGTTTCTCTTTATCTTGTCCAGAAAGAATCTCAATGTTTGGAAAGAAGAAGCTATCATAGAGCCAGTTATTAAGTGGACTGCTCATGATGTAGAAAATCGAATCGAATGCCTATACAATCTACTAAGCTATATTGACATAGATATAGATCCAATGTATTTAAAAACAGCTTTAGGCCTTCAGAGAAGCTGCTTACTAACGGAAAACAAGATTTGTTCTCTAATATACAATGCCTTGAATCCCGTGCATAAAGAGGTTTCCCAGCGGTCCACAGCCACAATGTATATCATTGGAGGCTATTACTGGCATCCTTTATCAGAGGTTCACATATGGGATCCTCTGACAAATGTTTGGATTCAGGGAGCAGAAATACCAGATTACACCAGAGAGAGCTATGGTGTTACATGTTTAGGACCCAATATTTATGTAACTGGAGGGTATAGGACTGATAACATAGAAGCTCTTGACACGGTGTGGATCTATAACAGTGAAAGTGACGAATGGACGGAGGGTTTGCCAATGCTCAATGCCAGGTATTACCACTGTGCAGTCACCTTAGGTGGCTGTGTCTATGCTCTAGGTGGTTACAGAAAAGGGGCTCCTGCAGAAGAAGCTGAGTTCTATGATCCGTTAAAAGAGAAATGGATTCCTATTGCAAACATGATCAAAGGTAAGTGCAGATTTTGTTTATCCTGTGTTTTATACATGCCCAAGTTTAGGCCAGCAATCTCATTTCTCTTGCAAGTAACTTTAAAAAGGATTTGTCACTTTGGGATACTCTCCAAATCTGTAGTGGGTTATACAAATAGTGTTGCACAGAATATTCTAGGTAAAAACAGGATAGCATAGTTCACAACTTGTCTGAGGATTATACTACTTAGGCTACAAAAGAAATACTGGAAAACGTAAATGTAAGGAAACAGGATAATTCATTCTGTTTACTGTATATATACCTTATATATGTGTGCCTTATGTAGTACTGTATATATACCTTATGTAGTATGTAGTTCAGGCTGACCTTGAACTCACTGTGTGGCCGAGGCTACCCTTGAATTCATAGCTATTGTCTTGCCTCAGCTTCCTGAGTGCTGAAATTACAGGTGTGTACCACCATATCACACCTGGCCAAGTCTCTATAATATATGCTTAAATTGGAGGCTAAATGAAGAAACAGACCTGGGTAGTTTTATTGATTCATGTTTAATTTTTTTTCTTGTTCTTGAAATATCAAACCTTTCTAGTTCTGCTTTTTTTTTTTTTTTTTTTTTTTT